GATATGTAATATTATTTTTAAAGCATATTTTTCTCCGATTAAAAGCACCACTGTGCTTCGTGAGACAATGCCTAAATTAATGCCTTTTTTGAAACATATTATGCTAATGAGGTTGACTGTGTAGAGGTTCAGAGATACGGGGTGGTAATGCAAACAATTTATCACTTTGCATCATGATGTGTATTATTGTTTATGGCTCATTAGGATTTTGTTTAATAAACAATAAACAACATATTTATTCATTAAGTCGAATTAATTAATTAAATTAATAAATTAAATTATTTAATTAAATCATTAATAAATGTATTTACTTTTTAAATAATGACCATTTTATATGCATAGCATTTTTTAGTTAAAACATGTAAACATTAAATATGAATTATTGAGCCTGCAAATAAAATAATTTAATTAATTAAATTAATTAATTAAATTAGTAATGAGTTCATTAATTTTTTTTCAAATTATGCATTTTGAAGTGTACACAGCGCTTGAAATGTTATGCACAGTATTTTTAAAAACAAAATGAATTATTGTACCGTTCAATTAATTAATTGCTAGATTAATTAGGCCTAAATGAGTTTTTTTTTTAAGAATAAGTACTTCTTTAATTGAGTACGTGTCAGAGTTGTAATGACTCGAGTCAATGACTCGACTCAAGTCCGACTTGAGTCACAACTTTTGGTGACTCAACTGGACTCGAGTCCCTAAGGGCAAATGACTCGACTCGACTCGACTCATGTTACTGCGTGCAAATGACTCGACTTGACTCAAGTCACTGCGAGCAAATGACTTGACTCGACTCGAGTCCCTCATCAGAATGACTCAACTTGACTCGGCGAAAAATATTTGCAATGACTTACGCCGGTGCCAGTTTTTGTTCACGTCACGTTAGAATTAAGTTAGTTAGAATGTTCGCGAATAATGTATACATCATACGTGGTTTGATCAGTGTCCCCATTAGTTGAATGACGATCAGCTGGCACCCCCTTTTTATTTTCATTAAGAGCCAAATGTGGTGTCGCCATATGCAGTAGCCCGAATATAAAATTTAAAAAGCCAAAAAATGACTTTCTCTCTTGTGTTTATTTATTGTATAGTGCTCAAATATTTGTGTCTCAAATTGACTGAGCTAAATACTTGACTCGACTTGACTCGACTACACACTGTGACTCGACTCGACTCGACTTGACCGTCTTGACCTAATGACTCGACTCGACTCGAGTCACAAAAATCAGTGACTCGTTACAACTCTGGTACATGTAAAGTAATTTAAAGCATTTAAAAAATAATGTAAATGATTACTATAATAACGTCAAAACTTGAACAATAAATTGAAGGGATCATAATCATTCTTTTGACATTAACAACGGGATACCCCAGGAAATTGTGATTTATTTACATTTAAGAATATAAATAAAATGCTAATTAGTCTACACAACTTCAGTACCCTTTCGAAGCAATCGCCGCTAGTGTGCTTATTGATTGCTTGCCCTGTCCCCTCCCTGGGACCCTGCTCCCGCCCCCTAAAAAACTTCTCTGATTTCTGATTTCTGAAAATCTGAATGTTTCTTTTCATTGACGCTAATTTTTTTATTTATGTCTTTGTTCATTGATTTATTTCATTATTTATTAATTTATTTCTCCATGTAACATTGCTTTTCTTCATCAATGAAAATCCCGCCCGCAAGGTTCACAAATTGCGATCGCCTTTCTCCGCGCAAGTTGTAACCAGGTAACGTGCGCACGCAAATTAATAAATAAAATGGCGCAGTGTAGGGGAGCCTTCGCGCAAGTTTAAACTTGCGCGGGGGACTCGACTCGACTCGACTTATTTACGGAGGTAGTCCAGTAAATTGGCAACATTTATGGGGCTAATTCAATGGTTATTCGGCACAATTGCAGAATACCCCGCCACTCGATCTATCCACCTCGTAGCCGGCTATGAGGTCACGGTTGATTGACCTCAATAAACATTCTCAGCGCTACTTGTATGCGTCATGCTCCATTGCACTCCCACTTCGTGACCGCGTAGCCGCCAACAGGGTAGTTGGTTTGGACTTCGAATTTTTTCAGCAACTCCCCCCCCCCCCCCCCCCCCCCCCCAGTCCCATTCCTTTTGTGTTGCTTCGTTCTCAAGCATATTCAAGGCGACTCCCACTCCGTAGCCTCGTAGCCGCCAACAGGGTGGTTGGTTTGGAATTTTTTTCAGCAACTCCCAATCATTTTGTGTTGCTTCGTTCTCAAATAATGGACCCCCACTTAGCCCTGGTGGACTCCCTTTCCTCCCTACGTTAGTCGTATTGCAATGAAGACTTCGTCCAACCTGGGCTAGACCCCCACTCAGCTCAGTATCCGCGTAGCTGGCAATGGACTTGAATTGTTTCTTTTGCAGTGATTCCATACCTCGTATAGCCAGTGATTTTAGGGGTGTATTTCCGAGTGGCGGGGTATTCTGCAATTACTCCGGTTATTCTTAAAAAAATACTCACGGGAATATCAAAAGAGCAGTTTTCCTACCTCCAAAGTCCATGAAGTCCAGGGTACTTCGGCACTTCAATTGCATTTGCAATTGTAAATAATGATAATTGAGCACATGTCATGTATGTGTTTTTGTTTTTACCATTTGGCGCAAGAGGGCGCTGTTAATAAGAAAACTGAGCGAAGGGTAGCGAACGTCACGTGCAAAATAGCAGACAGCAGTTTAAAAGTTTTTCAAGGTTCAATTTTTTAGCTTTTTGTTTTTCTGTTACCCAACTTACCAGAGATACAGGTTATGTTTTTCTGTAATGGCTGGGCAGACCAAAAGTGGACATCCGCTTTTCTTTTGTCAGAGCAGCACAAAATCAGATCCAAACAATTAATTTACGTCCGGGTGATGTAAATTCATGATATTTGATCCAAACAAGGCAATTATTGCCATCAAACACACTGCAAATTTCACACAAACAGCAATACGTACCACGCCAATTTATTCGTCCCCGAAGAGAGACTGGAATTTAAGAACAAAATTGGGAAACTTCACCGTTTGCATGCCAACAAATCAATACTACTCTCATCACGGTGGAGGTTTGGGTTTTCTGGAAGATAACAATCAAGTAGCTAGGCCTACTCCCCCCCAAAATCGAGAATTTCAACAAAATGAGGAAAGTTTAAATATATTTTCAGGTTTCAGAAAACAGAAAGGCAGAAGATTACATTTAATTCGTATTGTGTTTGTCTTAACAACCCAAAACAATCAAAACAAAACAAAATCATTTACCTGAATTGCTTAGCTGATCTGCTTACACAAATCTGGTTGCCTAAATTGGAGGTAAACCAGCTCGTGAAAATTTCTTTGATAAAAGTCAAAATAAGCCCAAGCAGTGAAAGGCGTATAAACACTGTTTACTCAGTGTGTTACCTGCCGAGTGAAAGTTGGAAAAAAATCACTCGGGTGGGACTCGAACCCACGACCACCTGCTTTGTGGTGCAAGTCTTACCACTTCACTGTACAGTGTACATAGCATCGATTGACGCCCGTGATCCAAATAAGCTTTTTGATAGCAATTCGTACTTTGGGATAAATGCAAATGATGCCTTTGTATCTCAAGAGCAAAAAAAAATTAAAAAAAAAAGGAAAACATGCATCTCGTTTCGTCCCAAGGATTGGCGGCCGAGGCATGATCACCGTGCAGCTGACAGTGAAGGAAACATTAGAGTTCCTCACACAGGAGCAACGAAGTTCACCCAAGACTGACAAAAATAGAGCTGCCTTTTACCACTGTATCAGTTTATTCAGTTACATTAACTGTATACATTTGTTTAAACCCAAGCGGTCCTATTCAGGGCCAACACATTTTCCTACAAGATAAAGAATCTTCTGGATCCCCCCTCACAGCTGCCTACATATTCTTTTTTCTCTCAAGGGTTTTTGACGTCTTTCTTCACGTAAGGATTCCCTTCCACAATTTAGTGAAAGTTCTTTTGCACATTTTGAATTTTCCCTCTAGTGCCAAATCTAGGTCTTCCTGTGCCCCTTGATCTGCTTGCGACTGTGCATGACACTATAACTTCAATAAAATAGGGGAAATTGTAGATGTGATTATACTTCCAATTGTTACTACTTCAAAGGTACAAGATCAACATAAAAAACAGACAAAATTAATATTATTATTATTTATTCAACCCAAACAACATAAAGTTACAAAGTGAAATTACATGAGAAAACACAAAAACGTAAACACTCAGGATTAATAAATATTTAGATACCTTTCTGGATTAAAAAAAAAAGCAGGATTAACTAAATAGAACCACTGAAAACAAAACAAGCGTACAAATGAACACAAATTAAAACATAATAGGCAATCAAATAAAGAACTCTAATAACTAACTCATTAATAAGATACAATTAATTAAGAATTAGTAATAATTGATAATTAATAAGACTGAAATGAAAGCACATGAGTAATTACTGGTTAAGATAAAAAATCTTGAGTGTACGACATTCGTATTTTAATATAGGTTTTCCCGGCTATTTTAAAACATTATTTACACAAATTCACCAACTTTAACATTCAATTTCGTCCGAGAAAAATTTCACACGCTTTTAACAAAACCAATTCAGTCATTTACTATTCAATTTCAAAGTTTAGTCACCCTCTTTGGTCACCGGGTCAAGAATATTTGTCATTACACATCAAATTCGTATAAGCTGTTGCCGAATGGCAGCATTCAGAGATCGAATTCGTCCGATATAAATCAATTAGACGAATTTGAATTCTGAATAACAAGGTTTGGCGTGGACGAGACGAAATCGAACGTGTGCTCTTGTTTGAATTTGTTTGAACTAAATTTAAAATTGTCTGACAAAAGACGAAATTAAACACTGGAAGTGCACTAAATCGATGTTGATTGACGAATTTGAATATTAAAAAACGGTGAATTCGAATGATAAACATTTTAAAATAGCCCGGAAAACCTATAGACAACTTTGCCATTTTTTTAATAAGGTAAATATGAGATTCAAGTATAATTAATGTCTTCATTCAAATAAAAAGAAAAACCCAGAAGTTTCCTCTATCTTATCAACTATTGCCACTGATTTTGAATAATGACCAATTTTAACATTTCAAGTGTAGATTGGCTAAAGAATGCCATGGTCCTGTGGTTACGGGGTTCGAACCCTGCCAGGAACATGGTGTTTGTGTCCTTGGGCAGGACACTTTCCTACAATTGCCTCTCTCCACCCAGGAGTACAAATCAGTATACTGTGAGGGTAGAAGACCGAATGTGTGCTGATATATATCAGCTGCCGCGTGGTCTCGTGGCCTGATGAACGGGGCACTTTCAGATTGTTGATACGATGGACAGCACTATATAATCATTACAATCTATCTGTCTATGTGCATGTCTGTCCAACTTGAAAAGATGGACAGTTTTAGCAGACTGGATGCAAGGCTGTGAAAAGAGTTTATGAAGAAACCTATGACATGATTTGAAACATTACAGACCAGTACTAATAGACCTTATGTATTTATTTATTTATTATCCACATCCAACAGCAGAACAAACCGCCAATTACAGGACTGGTTAAAAAATATTATACAATTATTTAAAAAAAAAAATATATATATATAAATATATATACACAAATATGATCAAAAAGAATCATTATAAAAAATATATATTGATGTTATAAAAACAAACTAAAAACAAATTATATGTATGTAGGGTTGAAACAAGCACTGTGAATTGGGATAGGAGACGATTTCATTGGATATGCATATTTAGATATATAAAATGCTAAAAGTAATGGATACAAAAAAAACCCAGAAGACACAACGCACATATACTTGAGACAAACACAAAGACAACAACAAAACTAACAAAACAATATAACAAAAAGAAGAGAAAAAAAGGAGAGTGAAACAAAACAACAAACCTAACTAAACAAAACAAAAACAAGACAAGACAAGGAAAACAAAATAAAAAAACAAACAAACAGTGCAAGACAGAACAAAACAAAACAAAAAACAAAAATCCAATCCAAGCAGAACAGAACAAAACTGAACAAAAGAAAGCAGAACAAAAAAGTAAGAAAAAATACACTATCTACGAAAAAACAAGATAGCAATAATTTTGTTACAGAAATAAAAATAATAAAAACAAATCACATGAAAGGAACTAAATTTGCAGAGAAGTGATGACAGTATAAAAATATTAAAAGGAGTTGCAAAAAATGGATGGTAATACATATATTTGAAGTAATCGATGACAATTCATTCAAGTGAGTTAAAAATGAAAGCAACAATGCATTAAAAAAGGTAAAACATTCATACATTAACCACTTGTATTTGAAAGAGCACGGGACACCTGTCTACGGAAAGCATGAAGAGACGGTGCACCGAACACATCGCATTTCCCATGGAGCCCATTGTAGGTGGTAGAGATCCTAGAAACAAATCCACGCTTTGTCACTTCAACGCGACTCCATGGGACACGGAAGATGTGTTCATGTGCATGCCTTGTCCGTCGTGCTGGAGCATGTAACTTGTATGGGTTGGCATCTGTAATATTATAACAGTTATGGAAATGTTTATTACCTTATGCATTAGGGCGGAGTTAGAGGGCAATGGTTTTGTATTGCTTGGCTAGGCATGAGTCTACCTTTTGTGTATTCATTGTTACTAGATTAAAATAACAACGAACAGCCTCTGAGATGCCTGTGATGCATGAGGTCTATGTGTTGGACTTCAAGCAAAAGTCTGTTTTCTTGTGCTGCATGGTTGCACTATGTTAAGATTTGGGTTTCTCAGTACACGGTGTCGAGAGTATAAAGTCACAGTAAAGTGGCTTGCTCAAGAACACAAGTGCCATGCAAACACTAGGCTGGGTTAAGAATACCAATCAGAAATTTGGCAACATTGTAAGCCTACATACGGCAAAGTGACGTGTCCATGTTCAAAGTCTGATTCAAAGCCCCTTTGACTATACATCACTGCTAGACTTCAATCTGCAATTGCTGACATTTCTTACAAAAAAGTAACATCAATTTTGATTCACATTTTGTAAAACAGCGAAAATTGTAGGTATAAAAAAATACATTTTTAAGATTAACAAAGTCATTATTTTTGTTCAAAGGCATTTTGGCAGGATGTAAGATGAATAAAACACTGCTGTCATGCTTCAGTCAAATAACAAACCACATCATGGATTTTCTACATTGTAACTGCTATACACTTCGAAAAGACTTGTAGAAACCTCAGAAAATTGTGATGTTTTTTAAACTTTGCAACTTGAAGTAAATCACGTTTAAAAATTTCACCTAATATCTACAAGCCTACATTTTGTGCAAGTTCACAATTCTACAACAAAAAATTCTTAATTAACTTTTCTTTTGAACTTAAAAACATTGCAACAATTGGAATAACGCAACAATTGGATCGTATGGAAGATTGCAAAAACTGGATCTTATGGAAAATTGCAACAATTTGGATCCTACAGAATAACAAACAATTGGATCTTATGGAAGAATATTAAAAATAAAATCTGAGATGGTGACCATCCGACCCATGGAATGACCCAACTTCTTGTGACCTCAAAACCCTCATCATGAAGTAGTTTTCATGTTTTTTTTAACTGATGACAAACTGAAAGAGGAGTAATCGTTAATTGCTGTTTTGTGCCCCATTTACATTATTTTGAATCTTTCCAGTCACTTTGTTTATGCTAATTTCCAAATTTTCTATGAGCAAAACAGTGAAGACATCTTCAGCATGAAGCTTTAGCGTTACAGCATGAAAGTTAAATTTGTGATAATACGACACAGGAAGACCGTATGCCTTTGTTGTTAACATTCGCAAATGTCAGCAGAAAAAAGTCAGTCCCACTTGAGCAAAAGCTGCTAACGTTGGCAAACGTAAGCTATTGTTTACATATTACCCCTGGTATTACTGCCTATAGGAAGAACAGCCGGTCAGCCAACTCAATCCGGGGCTCTTTGTGGAGGCTTTGGCCAACAAGAAAAGACAGCTTGTGAGCGTAGAGGCAGGGGGCTGGTACACGAATGGTTCCCTGCAAAACAACAGAAGAAACAAACAAGATGAGTATGGAACTAGACACTGAACTCTATAATTTCTGTACTGTCTTAAAGACATGTGTATACTGAAGCAGCCGTCTGCCATCTTTGTTCCTTCATGACATGTCTTATGACATTGCACATACTGAAGCAGCCGTCTGCCATCTTTGTTCCCTCATGACATGTCTTATGACATTGCACATACTGAAGCAGCCGTCTGCCATCTTTGTTCCCTCATGACGTGTCTTATAACATTGCACATACTAAAGCAGCCATCTGCCATCTTTGTTCCCTCATGACATATGTCTTATGACATTGCACATACTGAAGCAGCCGTCTGCCATCTTTGTTCCCTCATGACAAGTATTATGACATTGCATATACTGAAGCAGCCGTCTGCCATCTTTGTTCCCTCATGACATGTCTTATGACATTGCACATACTGAAGCAGCAGTCTGCCATCTTTGTTCCCTTATGGCATGTCTGCTGACATAGTGAACATACTGAAGCAGCCGTCTGCCATCTTTGTTCCCTCATGACATGTCTTATGACATGCATATACTGAAGCAGCCGTCTGCCATCTTTGTGCCCTCATGACATGTCTTAGAACATTGCACATACTGAAGCAGCAGTCTGCCATCTTTGGCCAAGTTCGGGCAAGGACCATTAGTCGACTAGTAGTTGATTTGTGACGTACCTTACGCCTGCGCACTGATAGCAACGTGTGAACGTCTCTAGTCAAACGCTAGTCAAAATGGCATCGCAAAACTTCTGGATCCTGGCTCCCTGCTAGCGTTATGAATGCGCGCGGCTATGGTTACCAGCGAAGCAACCAACCCCAGTAGGCTGGTTCCAAATAGTCGACTAGAGTAGTCAACTATCGTCGACTAGACAGAGTTCGGGCAAGCGTTAGTCGACCAATGGTTAACTATAGTCCTTGCGCGAACTTGCCCTTTGTTCCCTCATGGCATGTCTTATGACGTTGCACATACTGAAGCAGCCGTCTGCCATCTTTGTTCCCTCATGACATGTCTTATGACATTGCACATACTGAAGCAGCACTCTGCCATCTTTGTTCCCTCATGACGTGTCTTATGACATGCACATACTGAAGCAGCCGTCTGCCATCTTTGTTCCCTCATAACATATGTCTTATGACATGCACATACTGAAGCAGCCGTCTGCTATCTTTGTTCCCTCATGACATGTCTTATAACATTGCACATATACTGAAGCAGCCGTCTGCCATCTTTGTTCCCTCATGACATGTCTTATGAAATGCACATACTGAAGCAGCCGTCTGCCATCTTTGTTCCCTCATGACGTGTCTTATGACATGCACATACTGAAGCAGCTGTCTGCTATCTTTGTTCCCTCATGACGTGTCTTATGACATTGCACATACTGAAGCAGGCGTCTGCCATCTTTGTTCCCTCATGACATGTCTTATGACATTGCACATACTGAAGCAGCTGTCTGCCATCTTTGTTCCCTCATGAAGTGTCTTATGGCATTGCACATACTGAAGCAGCCGTCTGCCATCATTGTTCCCTCATGACATGTCTTATGACACTGCTACTGAAGCAGCCGTCTGCCATCTTTGTGCCCTCATGACATGTCTTATGACATTGCACATACTGAAGCAGCCGTCTGCCATCTTTGTTCCCTCATGACATGTCTTATGACATGCACATACTGAAGCAGCCGTCTGCCATCTTTGTGCCCTCATGACATGTCTTAGAACATTGCACATACTGAAGCAGCAGTCTGCCATCTTTGTTCCCTCATGACGTGTCTTATGACGTTGCACATACTGAAGCAGCGGTCTTCCATCTTTGTTCCCTCATGACATGTCTTATGACATTGCACATACTGAAGCAGCACTCTGCCATCTTTGTTCCCTCATGACGTGTCTTATGACATCCCAGCTAACACATCACGTTGCCACAACGTTGTGCAAAGTTGTGAAAATGTTGTCATTTGGTAACGTGTCACGATGACATTCAAGCAACCTTGACACAACGTTTGACTGTATAATTGTTGGTTGTAAAAATGTTGTATATTGGTAATTTGTACAACGTTGTACGAAAGTCATCATATGACATTTTATTGACGTTGTATGGTGGTCGTTTCACAATCGTTGTAATAAAGTAATAAATCTGACGTTGTGGTTACGTTAAATGTAGGTGTTTTCATGACGTTGTTTTTAAGTTGTCAATGTTACGTTGTCAGAACGTTGTAATTTAGAATATTTACAACGTTGCTGTGAGGTTATAATCATGACGTTGAGTTAACGTTCCATCTACGTTATTTTATAACGTTTTTTTCAGTTGTGAAAATTACATTGACACGACGTTGTAGTTTGGTATTTCAAAACGTTGCTGTGATGTAATAATCATGACGTTGTTGTAAGATTGTATGTGGGTACTTTCACAACGTTGTTGGTATGTTGTCAATCTCACGTTGTCATGACGTTGTAGATAAAAATTTACACCACGTTGCTGTGTTCATGACGTTATGATGACGTTGCATAAAAGTCTCATCATAATGTCGTTGTTAAGTTGTAAATATCATGTTGTCGTGACGTTGCAGTTTGGTATTTTCACAGCGTTGCTGCTATGTTGTGAACCTCACGTTGCTGTTACGTTTTATAAAGGTGTTTTGACACTGAATTTAAGTTGTAATTATGCTGTGGGTTATGATCCATGCTGTTGTGGTATTGACAAAAACATTGTGATTACGATTTACTGAATGTGAAGTGAACATAATGTTTTAATCAATGATGTTTTATTTGATAATAATGAACATTTGGGTGCCGCCTTGCATTAATAATGTAACTCATGAAATTTCGAACATCATCATGTTTGTTTTGTCGTTGTAGGAATATAATGTTTCCATGTGTTGTTCTAATGGTCCAAGATGGATGAGATCGTGGTCAAAGCGCGACTGTTTCCCGCTCATATTCATTGTTGTATACTCAATGTATATATTTATTGCACACACCAACGTAACTTGAAATATGATTCCTGTTCTCAAAGAAAATATTACCATGGCGCATGCGCGTCAGCAGAAATTCCACGTCCAGACCGCGTGATAGCCTATTTGAATCGCTCTGCTCAGTCGAGTCAGCGATCTAGCAGCAGCAGCTCACTAGTATAACGGTCGCCGACTCGCCGTCCAGTTGATGTGAATTAGCCATGATCACCAAGCAAGTTATTTTCACTACAGCATTTCTTAGAAGGTAGGAATGACTTTTTCTGTATCTTGGCTTCATTCTTGTGTCGAACACATTGTCTAAAAATCTGAAGAAATTGGATCAAATTAAAGTAAAACAACTTTTCGAACAAAGTCGCTGTAAAAAAATGAAGATTTTTCTATGCCTATCATCTTGGTTTTTTTTTTATAAATGTTGAAAAAGTTCTTCAGACTCGATCAGAATAAATGTAGATTAATTAAGAGTGAAAATATGTGCCTCAATTGAGATTGGAGGCTCGTCAATGCGAACAGTTTTGGAGGATCATACACTGAAAGAAATGTTCAAGTCATCTGGTTTTCAATTTAATAATAAAATCTTGGTAATATTCCAAGGAAATAATATACATGTGGATCAGATTTACTTGAATTCATGTGAGACATGTTAGACCTTTTAAACAACACTTTAGGTTGGAAAGTTATTTGTTCGATAGTTATATTTTTAGATAAAACAGATATTGTTTGAGCAAATGGCAAAATGTTGGAAGTGTATACATTATATCGAGAAGACTTTTGATTTGTGTACTATAGTATAGGCTTATGTTTGTATTTTTTTCAAATTGATGAATTAATCAAACTGTAACATATTGTATTGAGATACCCATGATACCCGAGCCAACAACCGTGAAATTGTTACCTGGGGTATCTCTTAATTTATAGATCTGATTTGATTTTCTCTCAACTAAAACTAGCGCAAATTTAAGCATAAACAGTCCGTTATAAAATTCCCGCTCAAAGACACAGTGTACGGTTGTAATACTAATAGCAACGCGCATTAGCATTTCAGTCCCAAGGGTCAGGCCTAAAGTTCACGTACCAGGACTGTACACGTATAAACGGTCATCTGGCTTTCGTTGGCTTGTACATAACAAGTGTATACAGTTTCAATCCGGGCTTTCGGGCTGTATAGCTCCCAGGGCTTGGCGTGATTTAAGGGAGTTTGACCAAAGTGTGTGGAGTAGGGTTCAGGGCCAGGTCAGCACTGTTACAAGATCAATGAAAAATACGCGAACTATAAAAGCCTTTTCTAAAAAGGGTCATTTGTAGCCTAGTTTTTTTCGTGAAAATAAGACATTATGTGGGTTAAAGAGCACGGGGACATCATATTTACACTTTGTTCAAACTTGATTAGTTTTATATATTTCTCAACCTTAAAAAACATCGTTACTTTCTCCAGGTAGGCAGTACATACGTGAGTGCACTGGCTGCAGGATGTGGCAAGTTTAAACTTTTAACTTCAGCAGTCTTCGAGGGAGGAAGTTTCTAATTATTTTGAAAACCACCCCGTACATCTCTTCAATGTTGTTGCTGTAAGTAATTCAACATACACTGACCTTCTATACATGTATAGACTTCTGAAACGAGCACCATAGACCTAATGCAATGCCGACCACCAAGACCATAAACTTGCGAAAGAACCAACATTTTGATCGTTACGTACATACATTTGAACATGAAGTTGTTTAGATTACATACAAATGCTTAAAACAGGCTGGCGCTTTAACTCTCAACCAGGGTTTTTGGTTACCCTTTAAATTTGTCTCTCGTGGGTTAAAGATTGTACATGTAGAAACACAGGCACAGCTCTGTTTGAAGTAGCCTACATGTATTGAGAAGACAGACATTATCTGGATATACATGTAGTTTTAAATTTCACATCTGGTGAGCCAGCGTGACACGCAGTGAGTGTTTTAAGCCTAAGGCAGCAAACATTAAATAGTTCATAATGTTTAAATAATTGATACATTGTTTTTTGTTTTCCTTATTTTCTTGTCAGATTCGTGTCTTTGGAGAAGTGCCATATTGACAACCTTGCTGAACAAGGAATCCACTTACTTCTACATCTGGATAGTCTTCTATGAAAGGTTCCATTAAATGAATGTTACTCTAAAACATAGATTGGGCAATTAGCCAATGTGCATGGAGGTATTCAAAGAAAATCATGTTGAAATGTCAATATTTTAAAATGCAGGTTTTTTGCAAGTTCCCTGCATACAAATATATCTTCACCAACAAACGCTATTCAAGTATCCCTTTCAAGTGTTATTCTTTTTCATAGACTCTGTAGCTACAAAAAAACCAAAACAATTCCTTTGAGTTTTCTTTTGAAGATGTTCCATGGGAGAGAACGAAAATGAAGGATTTAGATAGAGGACAGATTTAAAAAGCATGTGATTCAGTAGATTAAAAGTTGTCGGATCTATTTTATTTGTTCGATGTGGAAGTCGCCTTCCTATACTATATTTCTCATCACGGACAGTGGAAAATACTAATGTTCAAATACTATTTGAAACCATACTTTTGCTTGAATGTACGTTACGTATAGCACTGTGTATTTTTCATGAATTGATCCAATACATGAATAGGTATTCTCTAGTGTGGGTAACATTGTGATATGGAGCCCCTTTAAAGGTGATGTATAAAACCGGTTAGTGGCTAGGTCGACGATAATAGCCCTTGCATTCCGGCTCTGGCTATATTATTGGTGACCAGACCCTTTATCTTCTAATTGCTCAGTAACAACGTTATTGTCTTGTTAAAAGGTCGGTTCATACTCTGTGAAGTTACGGCAATTCACTTTGTGAAGTTACGGCAATCATTAACGCCAGCGCTAAAAAATTGGGGGAAAAAAGAGTGTACCACATTTTACTCTGGGCAATTTTGAGTCAAATGGTTTCGATGTCAACATATCAAAATTTGCTTTCACTTGAAGTATGAACCGATCGTTAGAGCTCAGCCCGGTCACTAAGGCGTGAATTCCTTATTGTGGATTTAAGTAAAAGACTTTAATTTTATACCATTCACGAAATGGACACTGTAGTAAAATGTGCATATTGATCTGTCCAAATAATTGCAGTGAGTATTAATTACACTTACCGTTTTAGTGATTGCATTTTAGTAATGTTTTTTCATGCTGTTGTTTCTGAACACTCTTTGTAATAAAATTAGAGAAACATGAATTACATGTATGTTTAATTATTTTGTTATCGTTTTCAGAAACATTTCTCCATAAATGCCCAGTAGGTTGCAGTAAGGTGGCAGCAACATGTCCATTAAGTTGTAGTAACGTGTCCGAAAAGTTGCAGCAACGTGCCTTTAAAGTTGCAGAAACGTCCCATTTAGCTGCAACAACGTGCCCACAAAGTTGCAGCAATGTCCTCATAAAGTTGCAGTAACGTCCCCATAAAGTTGCAGAAACGTGCCCATAAAGTTGCTTAAACGTGTCCAATACGTTGCTTTAACGTGTACAATAAGTTGCATTAACGTGTCCAGTAAGTTGCAGTGACGTCCCCAATTAGGTTGCAGTAACGTGCTAATCAAGTGGTAATCATGTCGCCAAAAGGTTGTAGAAACGTGCGTAGAAGTTGCTGTTATGTGTCAATTTGGTCGCAAATAACGTGGCGTCAAGGTGGTAATCATGTGCAATCACGACCAAACAAAAGTTGTGATGTATGTTGCGTTTACGTTGTGGAAACGTCATTGTAACGTTGCGTGATAACGTTGTAGCAACGCGCACGCGAGTCGACATTTTTACGTTGCCGCAACGTCATTTTCCTCACGTTGCGGCAACGAAAACCTGACCTTCTGGCAACGTTGTCACAACGTGAATGTGTTAGCTGGGATGCACATACCGAAGCAGCCGTCTGCCATCTTTGTTCCCTCATGACATGTCTTATAATATTGCACATATACTGAAGCAGCCGTCTGCCATCTTTGTTCCCTCATGACGTGTCTTATGACATGCACATACCGAAGCAGCCGTCTGCCATCTTTGTTCCCTCATGACATGTCTTATAACATTGCACATATACTGAAGCAGCCGTCTGCCATCTTTGTTCCCTCATGACGTGTCTTATGACATGCACATACTGAAGCAGCCGTCTGCCATCTTTGTTCCCTCATGACGTGTCTTATGACATGCACATACTGAAGCAGCTGTCTGCTATCTTTGTTCCCTCATGACGTGTCTTATGACATGCACATACCGAAGCAGCCGTCTGCCATCTTTGTTCCCTCATGACATGTCTTATAACATTGCACATATACGGAAGCAGCCGTCTGCCATCTTTGTTCCCTCATGACGTGTCTTATGACATAGCACATACTGAAGCAGCCGTCTGCCATCTTTGTTCCCTCATGACGTGTCTTATGACATGCACATACTGAGGCAGCCGTCTGCCATCTTTGTTCCCTCATGACATGTCTTATGACGTTGCACATACTGAAGCAGCCGTCTGCCATCTTTGTTCCCTCATGACGTGTCTTATGACATTGCACATACTGAAGCAGGCGTCTGCCATCTTTGTTCCCTAATGACATGTCTTATGACATGCACATACCGAAGCCAACTCTGTGGCCTGGGTTCGATTCCCAGCTCGGGTCATAATGATGCCATGATGCTTTTTCTCCTAGACCTCTGGTTTTCTTCCCTCTGCAAAAATCAATACTTTTGATCTGGCTGTGCTCCGTGGTCAGACATTGGGTTGTATGGCGGCAGCCTAAGGTGCCTTCACATGCCTTTGGCTAGACCACATTGTAGCTACGTCCTTTGCAATTCAGCTTTTGCTGCAAGGACGATTAGCCCTCCCCCCCACCCCATACATACAGGATAGTTACAGTGCTTTGGAATGCTGTTCATAACTTGCCCCGCTCCTTACCGGCCAATTGAAGTACAGATGAGTGAGCTTGTAGGTCAGGCTTTGCATGCTGTCTGGTGCCAGACCCGAGTTGTCCCAGATCACATTGTAACTGGTTGGAGTGACCGTGCCCTGGCGTACAGACTGACTGACAAGGAAGAAGTCGTATCTGTGGACACAAAATGGAGACCAGTCAGAGTGATACATACAGTCAAAATAAATTATGATAGTTTCAGCAGGCTTCATACTTCAATATCTATTGGTGATTGTTGGATCCAGCAGGGTCATAAAAATACTCGGAGCAGGGTTAGGGTTGGCTGCATGGACTCGACCATTTCTTTAAGGCGTGCAAGGTTGCTATTATTAGTCGGTTCAGCGCATGGCATCTGTGATGTGATTTTGGATTGCATCAAGCTTTTCCAAGAATAATACCAATAGTGGGTGTTTACAAAGAGCACGTACCTTCCAGGTACCAGCGCTCACAGGGCTACATCATTATTACCCCTGCTCATTGGGCCCATGAAACATTCCAAATACCATCTCAGCTCCCTGGGGAGTATACAGCTCGATGCTGCCTGTTAGGCGCACGAAAGCTAATTCAACAACAATAACCATCTCTGCCCTCACAGGTACCCATTTACTCCTGGGTGGGGAGCAGCAATGAGTGACAAAGTGCCTTGCCCAAGGGCACATGCGCACCATAACCCCAGGCTGAACTCGAACCCACAACCTGCAGAATTAAGGGGAAAGATCGCGCAACAGTGTGGTGGGCTTCAACCATTTGTTGAAGGGGATGATCGCGCAACGATGAGGTGTAGATATGGCGCGCTCTTCTACGGGCACTGCCCTCTATACCACCACATTTGTGGTTTTTAGTTTTGGTTAGTTACAGTGTACAGGGATAATAATTTGTTTTCTGTTTGATTTTTTTCCAGTGAGTTGTTTACTTACAAGTCTGGTTTTGTGACCACCGAGTCGATCACCGTTCCTGGGGATGGGTTGACGAGATTTCCTTGGTTCAAGGAGCAAAATCTATTGTTGATTCGCTTCTTAATGACGACCACAGCGCACTTAGGGCTGAACACAAACAATCAAAGACAACATTGGTACAGTCTTGTCTATCATGACATGAGACACTAGTAAACGGCACTTCTATGTCAAAAAGCAAAATGTAAAAGATTCAAAACGAAATATAATTTGAGGCAACAACACAGATATACCATGTCACATATTTTTTTTGGGCAGAGTTGTATCGAGTCCTAATTTTGTGACTTGAGCTGAGTCGAGTTATTTCAAAGTAGTCACTCGAGTTGAGTCTAGTAATTTTAAAGAAGTGACTCGAGTTGAAACGAGTCGAGTCATTAGGTTAAAAACTTCAAAATAAAACTTGAAGCGAAGAATAATAATGTGAATTCTTTTAAGGTGTAGTCTACGTGGATCAAAGAGAATAGAAAACACAGAAAGTAAAAGACGACAAGATCGTCGCATCATGACAAACCATTTCCACATTAGAAAAAATGTGGATGATTGATTTTCCTTGAAATCAGTTAAATTTGTTTTTGATATGCCTTATTTGAACACAAATCATTTCAAAACTTTTTTGAAAATCAAACCAATACTTCCCAGGGATAAACTTAAGATTCCAAACTTTAAAATTATATACAAATTATTGCAGTACGTGCTCCAAAGTGACGCAAGAGCCTCGCAAAAATATGTTGCGGGCATTTTGGGACGCGCTGTAGTTTAGTCCATCACAAGTCCATCACAAGCCACGTCACAAGCTATTCAAACGAACTCTACGAAAACATTCCTTTGTCACTGTTTATGCTGTTACTTACGACTTGTGTGATGGACTGGTGACGGACTCAACTATGACACTAGTGACAGTGCTCAACCTACCTATAGTCTGTTTCTATCATCCTGAAGGTATCAATTACTTGCGGTAGTTCATACTCCACCACAGCCGGCAGTTGCCCATCGCCGACGCCATCGCGATAGATGATGACTCTCTCGGGCAACTTACCGTTGATTTCTTTAAACTTCCTCAATGCACCTAAACGAAAAAATATACATGCAATAAAAGTCATGACCAGCAGCATAACCAAGGGAGGGGCAGAGTGGCAGATTGCATTAGACCTTTATCATGCTGCCATTTCGGTCCTGTTCCCTGTATCCTATAACACTACTGAATGATAACCTTTTTTGTGCAAAAAGGAACCAGACTTTTTTTCCTCCAGCCTCACTTTGGTTGCGTTGATTTGAATGGGAAAAAAATCAAGATAACTGCAACGTGATAATGGTCTATAGCATGGAGATTTGAAGCAAAATTGAGACGCTGATAGAAGCAAAATTGGGACGAAAAAATTAAGCTATTTCACACTTATTGTCCCTCAAAGCATGTTTGCTCCGTCAGATACTTACTTGTCATGCAGACTTTCAGACCATCAATGAGCTCCTGTCCTGTGTGCTGGAATGTACATCGTGAAAAGTACCTGGAAACACAATAACATGGCGAGTGACAGTGGATATTTTAAAAGGTCCATAGGATCATTTTGATCAACTTTGACGCACAGGCGTGCACGGCTGCGCTTATTGGTCGTTTCAGCGCATGACATCTGTGATGTGATTTTGGATTGCATCAAGTTTATCCAAGAATGATACCAATAGTGGGTGTTTACAAAGCGCACGTACCTTCCAGGTACCAGCGCTCATGGTGCTACATCATTATTACCCCTGCTCATTGGGCCAATTAAACATTCCAAATACCATCTCAGCTCCCTGGGTAGTATACAGCTCGATGCTGCCTGTTAGGCGCAAGAAAGCTAATTCAACCACAATAACTATCTCTGCCCTCACAGGTAACCATTTACTCCTGGGTGGGGAGAAACAAATGGTGTGATAAAGTGCCTTGCCCAAGGGCACACGCACCATAACCCCAGCTGGACTCGAACCCACAACCTGCAGAATTACCCGCAGACCATGAATCCAATGCCCGTAACCACAAGGCCACAGCACGGAATTGGGACATGATTCAGAACAACTCCTGCAGATATTTACTTTCTGCAAGCGACACTGACCATGCTATAAGTGATGTTGTCTGCTCCTCATGTGTACAGTAACCGCGAGGCTCAAGTTACTCAAGCTGTGCAGCCTACTTTGCTTACGACTGCATGAAAAGTAACACTGTGAAACAATGACCAAATAGTGTACTTACCTGCTAAGGTCGTGATTCATGGAAGCGACAAAGCCACCGACAGAACGCCCTCTAGTGGCGGAGTCGTGATAAGAGTCGATTCCTACCACCATCATCAACATTTTGGACTGAAAGTAATAAATGGGAAGACAAACGGAGACAGAATGAGCCAAAGACAAAGCTATTTAACTTTTGTAGAACACCAATTCATTGTATTGCAAGCATGCATCAATACATGAATTCACTGGAACTTGTGAATAAACTCAAAACTGTAACAGGGTTCATGTAAAACTATCTGCACAAAGCAACTAACTTACAAAAAGTGAAACATTTACATAAAATGTAAAGGAATCTCCAGCTCTTTATTTGGCTGTGTAGATTGACAAATTTTCACAATAAGATAAAGATTTACAGTAGCACTATGGATGTGACAAATCTCTTTATGAGTGTGTGAGGTTCTGAAAAGAACCGCGGAGAAACTCAACATTTCGGACAGTATACTCTGCCCGTCGTCAGGAGACAGAGCATACTACATGTATAATGTTGCTAACAATTAAGCAGTTTCTCACAAATGGCCAACACGGATGAATTTGGGAGCACTTTTTAGGTGTTGGGCTTTAGCCCAACACCTATTGTTATTGCATGTATGGGTTCAATGTTATTATTATTCTCCAAGACACATTTCGTTTCCAGAACTGTCCGTCAAACTGAAAACATATTTGAACTTCAATTGTCAATACATGAATGCACAACCTACCGCAGATGTGCTTTTTTGCAATTACGTAATCATGACGTCATCACGGGTCACGTGACGTCACTTCAAAGCTTAATAAATTTAATTTTTGAAATTCCATATAAAATCAACTGTGAGAGACCGGAACCTGAAATTTGTGGGAATCGACATGGTAATACATGATCTTCATTTTAACTTGTGCGCGTAAAATCACGTGACCCTTCCTTCCGGTCGAAACCGAAAGTGCCTAATAATTTAAAAGTGGAAAAAGATATGAACTTGCTTTTAACATTTTAAGTGTCTGCCTGGATTGACCTTTCAAAAAAATAATGGGTGACGCCATGAAGCGCCCTCTAGCGGCAGCTTAAAAAATGTCAAAAGTGCATTTTCACTTGATGTCTGTGGCGAAGTTTGTGGTAATCGCTTCAAAATTAATATACATGATGACCGTAATGCAGACAACACCTGTGCGCGAAAAAAAAATAATAACGTCATCAGACCGGAAGTTACAATAAAAAGACCTTTAAACCTTAAAAAATTGCTAGAAAATATACCGTGATAGATATAATCAAGATATGGCTGTATATACCACAGTTAAAATAGCTCTTGAACTTTTTGGTAAAGACGTCATAATTACGTCATCAAGTATCGTATTACAAGCAATCAAAAATTTCTAGATTTAATCTTTGAAAATCAATATAAAATCAACTGCTACAGATTTGATTTGGTTTTTTTTATGGCAATCGATACAATATTGCAGGGTCTTCATTTTTGGTATTAAGTGACCCTTCCTTCCGGTCGAAACCGGAAGTGCCTTATTATTAGAAATTGGCAGAAGATGCGAACTTGCTTTCAATGATGTGAGTGTCTGCCTAGGCAGTACTGTACAAATTTTTTACAGGAGACGTCATCAAATGTTAGAGCGCCCTCTGGCGGAATGTTGAAAAAGTCAAACATGGATTTAAACATGCATATTTTGAGTTGATGTGTGTGGCAAAGTTTTCGGTAATCCATGGCCCAACACCGTGTAGTTGTTCCTACAACCTCTAGTTAAAATTGTTTTTTCAAGTTTCTACCTGAATTAATGGTCATGTTTTAAAGGTTTCTCTGCAGCCCCTTTAAAAATTGGAACATTTTTTGGTGACTCAGTTACAAAACCCTAGTGTGTCCCAGAAATTAGACGGGTCACTGATTATTTTTTCATGCAATGATAGTAAGGCCGCAGTCTGAGAACCAGACACCAAATTTATCTACTGCACTTTAAGTAATAAACACATAACATTGTAATAGACTTATTTTTGCCTGTAATACACTGTATTTAATGCAAAGTGCTGAGGTGGTTTTGGGCAGTATAAGTAGTTAACAGGTAGGGTGCTTTGGGGCGGTACAGGGACTAACAGTTTAAGATGACATTGACTCACGTCTAAGCCTACCGTTAACAATGAAAATGTTTGCCAACAATTTCTCATTTGGATACAAACATAAAATAACTGCCAACATTGACGTATTTGGGAAAAACCTTGTTTTGAATTTCGCGTTAAAACTGTCAATATTTTGGACATGATTACAAAAAATGAATAAAGAACATCAGGCTCATACATATTCATGAGATTGAATACCATTGTATGACTTACTGGAATTAAAACTGTCCACAACTCTCCGCCCATCTTGCAGTTAATTTGCATAGCAATCTTGGTAGCTACGGACATGACGGTCTGTTTCTTGTTGATAGTGCGACCCACAATGCACTGGCTGGGTACCGGGGCCTCTAGACAGCAGAACTTCTTGATGGCGTCGTAGCGATCCTTACGAATAGTTGGTAGGATACACACAACCTGGGTAACGGTGGAACAAAAAGGTAAACAAAATTCTGAACTCTACTGGTAAAAGTGCTTATTAGGCTTTGTGAAAGTAAGGCAATGAGGTGACTGAGTATACAGAATCACTTCAAACAACAGCTTGCAATGACATTTGATGGGAATACTAGCCTTGATCATAACCAAGTCTGTCTACTTGTTCCCGTAGCAAGCGGCCGCTACATATTAGCCTGATTTGCGTACCCGTTGTACTGTACATGTGAATTGCCACAACACTGCGCCGTGCACAGTAGCCTCAATGATCCCCTTGCTTATCTGCACGCTTACGCCCCACACACACATATCTAACTTTTCCCCAACAGTCGAGGCAAAAGACAGCCTTGACGCACATTATATGCTCACTATGATAAGTAGTACGGGCTATGGTAAACAGTCTTCTCTCAGGGAACAAGTAGACAGACTTGGTCAAGGCTATGGGAGTACAGGCTTTCAAGTCATAATTGAGAAGGCAGCCTTCAATCACACTCACCATCTGTGTCTGGGGACTCAAGTTCTGTCGGATGGCACGAATAAAGCTTTCAGTGCGGTCATCACGTAACTCACATCTAAAGAACACCAACAAAAATAATGAGAGAGAGAGAAAAAGGATAGCAACAAATTCTGCCCTTCAAGATTGGCAAAACCACTTTAGCCAATCGAGTTGGCATCCACACTTCAAAATATTTTGAGGCAATATTCTGTGGAGTACAGAAACACTTCAAATCCCTGCACAATGTTTTGGTGTCGTTAAGCTCATGGCAAGCAGGCAGATTCAGTCATGCTTCACTGCTCTCCACAGAAAAGTTTTTGGCAACTTAATAATAATAATAATATCTAATTCTTGTATAGCGCCAAATCCGTCAAAATTGACGCTCAAGGCGCTTCACAGAAATAAAAATGAACAGGTTAAAATTTAAGAATAAACTAAAACTTATACAAGACAAAACCTTTAAAATAACTATAAAATAATATGGTTGATAAAAGACAGCCAAACTGTCAAGATAGGCAATAAGAATAAGACAAACAGGCAATTAAAAATTGACGCACAAGGCGCTTTACATCAATACGGATATACCAGTTAAATTTTAAAATACAAAAGGTGTACAAATTAAAATTGTCTAAAACAGGCAGATATAAACGGACAGACACAGAACATCAATCAAGTAAACAGAGAGATGACCATGACAGAGAGAATTAATAGCACGAAAGCCATAACGTATATCAAATATAAAAAAAAAAAACATTAAAAAAAGTGACGCTCAAGACGCTTCATTACAGAACTACAAATAACCAGTTACAATTAAATTGAAGTCTTAAAAATAATTTAAAATATGCAAATACAAGTCGGTGAACAAGTTTTGTCTAATATAGGCATATAAATAAATGGACAGACTTACATCTACACAACAGAGTGGGAAACATACACTAGACGAACAGATGAACGGACTAACAGTAGACAAGACACACACACTGGTTGATAAAAGACTGTCAAAAACACACAATTAAGCTCGAGACAAACGATGGACAGGCAGATGAACTAACACACAACACACACGGCACAAAATGTAAATAGCACGACGGTCACGACAGAGAGACGTAAACAACAGACTAAGAGACACACACAACAGACAGACAAGACAAACGAACGGACTGATGCACTGATGGTGCTCCGGTACAACAAGCCGACACCTCCTCCCCGCTTATTGGCTCGTGGTACGTGATGGAACGAGTACCCATCGGGAGTTAGACCAGCAATAACAGCCGGGTCATTTGGAGTCAGCCAAGTCTCAGAAATCCCGATGACATCCATATCATTTTCGCGCACAAACTCCACAAACTCATCTGTTTTGTTTTTGATACTGCGAGCATTCAGCATGCAGAACGTGGTCAACTGCATTCGATGATGTTGTTGTTGTTGTGTCATATGTACTTGCAGTAGATTGTCGCGAGTGCGGGATACATCACGAAAGCTGTTAAGTCTCAATGGCCGGTTCCCAACCACAACAGGAATGTCATTGTAGCCCAGCATAGGCGACTGCATAGTCAACATGTTTTCAAACGTACCTGCACAACTCCTATTGAAAGGTGGTTTCTGGGGCGAGCTGGTAAAAGTCACAACAAAAGCCCTCCAGTTCAGAACAACAATCACAACAATCACAAAAATCCGGGCTGTGATTTGTAGATTCCTGTCAAAATACATTCTACTTTGATCTATGACTCCTCAAAAGGACAGCAGTTGTTAAAAAGTTGATGGATGGCACACAGGAAAGGTGATAAAATTGGATTAAAACCTCAAAGTAACAGAGGGAAAATGAGAGCAAACTTCCATCTTGAACAGCGCCCTCTGACCGACAACTTGAGACTCAGACTCGGACTCGACAAAATTGCTTCCAAACCTGGACTCAGACTCGACCCAATTGCTTCCAAAGTTGGACTCAGACTCGTTCCAATTGCTTCCAAACTTGGACTCAGACTCGACCCATTTGTTTCCAAACCTGGACTCAGTCTTGACCCAACTGCTTCCAAACTTGGATTCAGACTCGACCAAACTGCTTTCAAACCTTGACTCAGACCCAGTTGCTTCCAGCTTGGACTCCAGACTCGACCCCATCACTTCAAAACTTGGACTCGGACTCGACCTAACTGCTTCCAAATTTGGACTCAGACTCGACCCAATTGCTTCCAAACTTGGACTCACAGACTCGACCCTATTGCTTCCAAACTTGGACTCAGACTCGACCCTATTGCTTCCAAATTTGGACTCGGACTCGACCCAACTGCCTCAACACCTGGAGTTGGACTTGACTCAAATAACTCGACTAACAATCTTGTAAACAGCCTTACATTAAGGGTGGTCTGGTTTCCATTCCCAAACGTGGCGCCACGGTGTTGAAGGCGTTCAGGAACTCCATGGCGTTCTTGCTATCACGCGCTGTGTAGATCAGCAGCCAGTTGTGCAGACCAATACAGCTCAGCAGATCCTTCCGCAGATCTCTGCTCCACTCTGCATTCTCACCCAAGGAAATCTCCTGTTGGTGTTTAAAGGCATATAGGATCATTTTCTTTTCATGCATTTTGTTCAAAATTCCAGAGAAGAATGTCCAAAAGAAAAGTTTCTACCTAATTAATGTCAGTTAAACCCTGCTCAAAGTGAAGAAAGGACTGGTATCACATATCCTGAGAAATTATTCCACCTAAAATGATATCATTCAAAAGAAAAGTAACATTCATAAATACCTAAGACAGTTTACGCATTCCTATTGGTCGAGAGCCCGTCACGTGGCCGGTCTTAAACGGATGATAAAGACATGGCTAGCTGGTCTTAAACACTTTTCCAGTGTCACAATAAAATGTGGACTCCTAAAAATCCAGTGCCTCTTATCGTTTCATTGGTTGAACGTTCACAATCCTCATGTAGGCATGCGCAACACTACCAGGGAGTCAGAATTTTATAGTTCTAAATTCAAAACGCAACGCGCCAGGTGCGTTCTGCGCGGCATCGCGCAGAACATGATACGCGTGCGTCAATCTCCATAAAAGGGTTGTTTACATCTTACTCGCCAGCTGAACACTCCATTATTTTGCAAGAGGGATGTTTCAAAAAGCATAAAGTCAATTTGTTGAACAAAATCGGGATGTTTTGAAAGAATTAAATGATTTTTTTTACTGAAAAGGTATTTATGAATGGGAATAAATATGTGCTCCATCGGTATTTATCACTCTGTTCAAGACCACTTAGAGTCTGGGTGCTGATAACAAAGTGTTTTCAAAATATAGTTATGGACACACACATATTTACGCGTGTTAGCAACTGAATTTGGTTACAAGATACAAAAACTTGCGCATACATTTTGTAATTTGTTTTCTCGAAATGTACAGGGTGAGTAAAAAAACCCGAAACCCAAATGTCGGCACCATTGTTTTAGTGAAGTTCTGCATGTAGCACTTCCAAAATCTAAGATATGAAAAGGTTGTGTTTAAAATTCCGTAACTTCAAAAGTACATAAGTGATTTGAATGATTCTTGTACTCAAAGAAAGCTTATGAATTGGGCTTTCAAATGCTAGATGTTGGAAGTGCTACATGCAGAACTTCCCTAAAACAGATGTCCCGACATTTGGGTTTCACTTTTTTTTTTACCCACCCTGTATTTTATCCACTGAGCTGAAACTTCAACAGGTTAGTTTTAGGCACCCTTCTTTATTATGAACAATTGTGTTGCTCCAAAAAAAAGAAAAGAAATAGAAAGTATCCAACAAACCTTTCTAGCCAAATGTCAAATTCACTCCGCATTCACAAAAACTACATGTTAATTGTAAACTGGTCTTCAGCTCAACGTCCCAATCTCTTTGTCAGACTCACATTCTTTCCCTGGTGACCGGTGAGGATTTTCTCCCGATCCATGATGCGAGCGTTGATCCTGACTGGCTGAGCTTCAAAGCTCACCTGCCACTTTTGCAGGTAAGTACTCGCCTCTTGATTCCTGAAAGAAGGTTAAGAACACAGGTCACAAATCATTATTTTCTAGGTCAGCCTGGGCCCGAATCAAATATTTTGTGATTGTGGCTCTCAGTTTTGCCATTGACAAGCTATGTTTTCAATTACCAGCAAAGGTCCAGTCTATGCACTGAGTATAAAGTGTTTATACATCGGTGAAGGGCAAAACCTAATATTAAAAGTCCACTCTGTAAAGCATACACATTATTATGTTTCATGTCACCAGTATTGTGGTTGAGTCACTTGAGGGTCGAGTCCGAGTGAGAGTCTCAAGTCAATTGGGTCGCGTCTGAGTCCAAATCCAAGTCCAAGCGACAAGTCATTTGATTCTAGTTCGAGTCTGAGTAACATTTATATTAAATGGATGAAATTTCTATGGATCAATGGAGTGGAAGAAAGCGATTGGGTCAAGTAGACATGATCACCATGGAGTCAAACCCTCTAGTTGGGGGGGGGGGGGGGGGCGGACTATAAACAGATGGATGATGGATGGATGTGAATCAGGATGGACTCACTTAAAGTGATATGTAATATATGAGATGTTGCAGGACATAGGGAGGGGTGCATTAAATGACAAACTTTCAACATTTGCAACACCACCTGGAGTGAGGTGTGGTACATTTCATGTGCTTAACATTCTTTAGTGTTACTGAAATGTTACTTTTGGGGGAAAAAGAAATATGCTTAAATGGTTTGTTTTTGGTGTAAATAAATATATGATTCTCTGCTCACGAGTTCTGAGTCATTAGTGTCAAATCGGAGTCATGATGGCCGAGTCTGAATCCAAGCCCAAGTCTTTTGCCTACGTGACTCGAGTTGAGTCAGAGTCAACAAAATTGCGACTCGAGACAGACTTGAATCCGAGTCCTGGGCTCCAGTTCTACATCACTGGGCAGGTTATTTTTGTGTAAAGTGCTGGCTTACTGTTAAAATGGTGCACAAAAGTTTGGCTGTATGTAGATTACCATCAATTGTTATTTAACAACATTTTTCCGGATGTAAGGAAAAATAAACCTTACTGACCTGGGAAAGCTGCCGATGAAGTTGGTCAGCTCTTTCATGCGGACGTTGGGCGTGATGCGAGTGTACACAGACAGGTCCTTCATGACGTGGAAATCACTGCGCATAGCTTCGCTGAGCCCCGTCAGGGTACACAGCTCAGGGATCAGGTGGATGTGATCAATCATTCCTCGGCGCTGATCCTATTACAATAAAAACAACACAAATAAATCTGCCTGTGATTATGGACTGGCTCCTTGTCCTTACTTTGTGGTTGACGGGCGAGTGTTGTGTGAAATTTGGACTCTATGAAATACAGATACATTAGTTGTATTACGCATCTATATATATAAGAGAGAGTTTAACTCGGTCTCCGAGACGATGTTTGCTCATGAAAGGATCCGAGACCGCGGTCTCTCGTGGCGCCAAAATCGCTCCACGTCCGTGGAAAAATGCGGAGGGTGTCTTCCGCCGGGTCGGACATTTCGGGTCGTCCTGATTTTCCCGTACGGACCGGCGATCCGTTTCGTCGATTTTTCGTGACCACGTTTTGCGCAGGAATTTGCCGTCGTGTGCGCTTTCACGTTGACTGCCTGGCCGCCCCCTGTGCTGGCCTTTCTGCATGTCTAGACTGTGCGAGGTCAGCGAGGTCAACGTAGGGGTTTCGTTTACGTGTTCTACTCGGCCGTACTGCAAAAGCGTTCACCAAACGGTAGTATGGGGTGACCTTGGCAAAATATTTTTTCTCCATGGTGCGTGGCCTACGGAACGTAGAGTGGCCACCAAGTGTCCCTATTCTTTCCTGTGCTTTGCTTGCCGCCCCTGCGCCGAGTGCAACGAATACTCAGAAGGACTACACATTAGTATGCCTTGCGCAGTCTGACCAATCGAAAGTCTACACTGCGTAGTATTTACGGGCTATGCAAAACTGTCGATGGCAACGCATACTGCAGCCTGCTCCACACCCTGGAAACGAGGTTGGGTCTACGGTGCTCTCTATTTGAAGCGCAAGCATGTGACATCGCGTGATAGAGTGCTATTGCTTCCATGATGTGTTTACAGCTCCATATGGCCATGCTTCCACCACCAAGGCTGAGCGTTGTGAGTTCGCTGCCCGCCACGTGACGTATAATTCAGTGTCGTGTTATTATTTCGGGGGCCTTTTTGGGGTCAACGAAGGATCGATGCATTCACACAAAAAATCGACGAAAAAGTGTCCAACCCGGCGGAAGACACCCACATTTTTCCACGGACGTGGAGCCATTTTGGTGTCGCGGGAGACCGCGGTCTCGGATCCTTTCAGGAGCAAACATTTCTCGGAGGCCGAGTAAAACTTGCTCTTATATAGATGGTTGCACCAACTTCAATAAAAGTTAAATCGACTTTTTCCTCGCAGACGGTCTCGCAAATTGTAAGAAGTTCAAGTTTACGTTTGTTGAAGAGTCCAATACTGAACTTTAATTATGACGTTCCTCCATGATTCAGACCCTTTGTAATTTTATGGGTAACACTCAACATTTTCATTTCAAATGACACCTTCACGTTTTATTGCATTATGATTTATTGTCAAAACTGTACAATCAGCCTTCGCCTGTGTACTACGGTAATCTTTTCACTGCGTTTTCCAAATGCGACCTCCTCACAAAATGCCAATTTAACAGACCAACGGGAACATTTACAGACAGTTGCGATTGCCATGGTACATAATTATCATGTGCGTAAATCGACGGGGGACAGGGGGACCCCCCCTCCCCCCATTTTAAAGCGGGGGACATTGTTTGGTTCCCCCCCCCCCACTTTTTCTTCCCCGAATAAAAATTGTAGCCTACAACAATGATTCTATTGCTCAGAATACATGTAGCTGATTCAATTACTCCAAACTCCAAACTTTAAAAGATGATCTGCTGAAATTGGTTTTAGTGGTGAGAAATTGGTTTTAGTGGTCAGAAATTGCCTCAGATCACGCCACAGAAATTGCTTTTCTATAACTGCATGTCTCCTGAACTGAACTATATCCCCATTTACATTTAACTCCCCAAATTGTCATCCCCAACACTACGCCCTACCCGATCTATGATTGGGTAAATAAGCTTGTGCCTAATAGTGAAGATAATTAGGACAGTGAGAGATTTAATGTTCTATTCAACGAGGCGAAGCCGAGTTGAATGAAACACTCCATCTTTCAACGAATGAAAATATTCTCACAATTGCACGAATGCAAGACATTCATTATTTGTTTTGCATAACAACCAATGAGATCTTTGTCATTCGATTGGAGGTTAAGACTTGAAGAACAAACAAAACTCACAAAATTGCACCATATCCACTACTTTTTTCAGCTTGGTCAAGGCTAACAGAGGTTGAAAAGTCAAATCATTGACCATAATGAAAATCAACATTGTAATTTCTTAATCCAATGCAAAAAAAAAACCCATCTTTGCAACTGCATCAACTTCAAAGGCAAGTTTTGTACTGCCTTTATGCATGATAATGGTTTAAATAGCGCAAAGATTGTATAGTGTCGGGCCGCTGCGCGTCGTAGAGTGCGCGCGGCGTGCAATAGATCAAAAGAGATGGGACAAAAATGCAGGGTGAATGGAACCAAAAATGAATGGTTTTGACATAGGCCGTGCAATGGTTTGTTTATTGAATGCCCCTTGACCTACAATCCTCCAATCAAATGACAAGGATTTACTTGGATGTTATATAATGCCCTTTCAATAAGATCTGAAATAACTCACCCTTTTCTTTGGATTGCTGACCAGCAGTGGCTGTCCTAGATCACTGATATTTAGCCCGTACGCATCCCGGTAGTACTGGGCGTAGGTTATTTTAGTGCCATCCAACTTGTCGAATGTGTTCATGGGATCGATATTAAAGTCGATGTCGTCCACTCGGTAGGTCTTGTTGTTGTACCTGAATGACAGCCATCCAGAATTTATTTGGTTACTTTTTTTCATCCAAACCCAACCTCTCTCAGTCCACTGATCTTATCAACCAGGCATGCAACTGGGAAGTCACAAAAAAAGAGGAAAGTGAAATCTTTCCAAGACTTTGTACAGTGTTTTTCTAGTGAAAAAAAGAGGAAATCAGCTGATCCGAAGAAAAGTTCCATGCCTGATCAACTGATCTCAACCTAACTGATCCAAACAACTGATCCAAACCCAACTGATCCAAACCCAACTGATCTCAACCCAACTGATCCAAACCCAACTGATCCAACCAAACTGATCCAACCAAACTGATCCAAACCAACTGATCCAAACCCAACTGATCCAAACCAACTGATCCAAACCAACTGATCCAAACCCAACTGAACCCAACCCAACTGATCCAAACCCAACTGATCCAAACCCAACTGATCCAAACCAACTGATCCAAACCCAACTGACCCAAACCCAACTGATCCAAACCCAACTGATCCAAACCCAACTGATCTCAACCCAACTGATCCAAACCAACTGATCCAAACCCAACTGATCTCAACCCAACTGATCCAAACCCAACTGATCCAAACCCAATTGATCCAAACCCAACTGATCCAAACCCAACTGATCCAAACCAACTGATCCAAACCCAACTGATCCAAACCCAACTGAACCCAACCCAACTGATCCAAACCCAACTGATCCAAACCCAACTGATCCAAACCCAACTGATCCAAACCCAACTGATCCAAACCCAACTGATCCAAACCCAACTGATCTCAACCCAACTGATCCAAACCCAACTTCTCTCAACCCAACTTCTCTCAACCCAACTGATCTCAACCCAACTGATCCAAACCCAACTGATCCAAACCCAACTGATCCAAACCAACTGATCTCAACCCAACTGATCCAAACCAACGGATCCAAACCCAGCTGATCTCAACCAACTGATCCAAACCCAACTGATCTCAACCCAATTGATCTCAACCCAACTGATCCAAACCCAACTGATCCAAACCCAACTGATCCAAACCAACTGATCCAAACCAACTGATCCAACCAGACTGATCCAAACCAACTGATCCAAACCCAACTGATCCAAACCCAACTGATCCAAACCCAACTGATCCAAACCAACTGATCCAAACCCAACTGATCCAAACCAACTGATCCAAACCCAACTGATCCAAACCCAACTGATCCAAACCCAACTGATCCAAACCCAACTGATCCAAACCCAACTGATCCAAACCCAACTGATCCAAACCCAACTGATCCAAACCCAACTGATCCAAACCCAACTGATCCAAACCCAACTGATCCAAACCCAACTGATCTCAACCCAACTGATCCAAACCCAACTGATCCAAACCCAACTGATCCAAACCCAACTGATCCAAACCAACTGATCCAAACCCAACTGATCCAAACCAACTGATCCAAACCAACTGATCCAAACCCAACTGATCCAAATCAACTGATCCAAACCCAACTGATCCAAACCCAACTGATCCAAACCCAACTGATCCAAACCCAACTGATCCAAACCCAACTTCTCTCAACCCAACTGATCTCAACCCAACTGATCTCAACCCAACTGATCTCAACCCAACTGATCCAAACCCAACTGATCCAAACCCAACTGATCCAAACCAACTGATCTCAACCCAACTGATCCAAACCAACGGATCCAAACCCAACTGATCTCAACCAACTGATCTCAACCCAATTGATCTCAACCCAACTGATCCAAACCCAACTGATCCAAACCCAACTGATCCAAACCAACTGATCCAAACCAACTGATCCAAACCCAACTGATCTCAACCCAACTGATCCAAACCCAACTGATCCAAACCCAACTGATCTCAACCCAACTGATCTCAACTCAACTGATCTCAACCCAACTGATCCAAACCCAACTGATCCAAACCCAACTGATCCAAACCAACTGATCTCAACCCAACTGATCCAAACCAACTGATCCAAACCCAACTGATCCAAACAAACTGATCCAAACCCAACTGATCTCAACCCAACTGATCCAAACCCAACTGATCGAAACCCAACTGATCCAAACCAACTGATCCAAACCCAACTGATCCAAACCCAACTGATCCGAACCCAACTGATCCAAACCAACTGATCCAAACCCAACTGATCCAAACCCAACTGATCCAAACCCAACTGATCCAAACCAACTGATCCAAACCCAACTGATCCAAACCCAACTGATCCAAACCCAACTGATCCAAACCCAACTGATCCAAACCCAACTTCTCTCAACCCAACTGATCTCAACTCAACTGATCTCAACCCAACTGATCCAAACCCAACTGATCCAAACCCAACTGATCCAAACCAACTGATCTCAACCCAACTGATTCAAACCAACTGATCCAAACCCAACTGATCCAAACCCAAGTGATCCAAACCCAAGTGATCTCAACCCAACTGATCTCAATTGACCGATCACAACCCAAGTGATCCAAACCCAACTGATCCAAACCCAACTGATCCAAACCCAACTGATCCAAACCCAACTGATCTCAACCCAACTGATCCAAACCCAACTTCTCTCGACCCAACTGATCTCAACTCAACTGATCTCAACCCAACTGATCCAAACCCAACTGATCCAAACCCAACTGATCCAAACCCAACTGATCCAAACCCAACTGATCTCAACCCAACTGATCCAAACCAACTGATCCAAACCCAACGGATCTCAACTCAACTGATTTCAACCCAACTGATCTCAATTGACCGATCACAACCCAACTGATCTCAACCAAACTGCTCTTAACCCACCTGACCTTGACCTATTTGATCCAAACCCAACTTCTCTCAGTCCACTGATCACAACCCAACTGATCTCAATCCACTAATATCCAATGCCGTAGCCAGGGTTCTCATCCTAGGGTGGGGGGGGGGGGGTACATGTGGGGTGGGGCTTGAGGTTATAAAGGTAGACAAGGTTTTTTCCACTGGACACCCGCCCTCTGTACAACCAAATAGTGTGGGGGGGGGGGGGAGGAGTGACACTATCTTCCCATGGGGGGGGGGGGGGGGGCGTTCAAAATGTATATCATGGCTACATTAGACAATAACTACCGCTATTCGCTTCTAAGGGACGTTTACAATAAACAACCACTCGCAAAAAAAAAAGTTTTGCTTTTGAAAGTTTCACAGAAAAAAGGGACTTTATGTTCTTTCAGCTAATCGTGGTAACTCATATGGCTGTGCTTTCTCCGGATGCCAAATTTTCTGTGTTTTTTTTATGGGGGGGGGGGGGGGGGTGGGTAGCCGTTGCTTATATCACCCAAAACTAATCTAAACCCAAACACCATCCATTCACTGATAATCTCAACCCAACTGATCCCAACCTAGGCCGACCCAACCCTACCAAACCAAATCAAGCCAAAGCCAATTCAACTAAACGGAACTAAACCGAAATGATCTAAAGTCAACCAGGTCATACTCAAACAAACAAAATTGAACTGAATCAATGCAAACCAAATCAAACACACTGAGTTGATGCGAACTGAACCGAACCAAACCATTCCGATCTCAACCATACCAAAGTGATTAGAACGGAACCGAACAGAACCGAATACATCGGACTAAAAAAAACCAAACTCAAGTGAACTGAACTGATATACAAGGTGAGTCAACAGAAAAAGAAACCCAAATGTCGGGATCATTGTTTTAGTGAAGTTCTGCATGTAGCACTTTCAAAATATAAAGCTTTCTTTTGAGTACAAGAATCATTCAAATCACTCATGCAATTTTCAAGTTAGGGAAATTTAAACACAACCACTGTTTTAAAGTTCTGTCCATGGATCACAAAAAGGTAAGCATTCTTTCAGCAAAACGAAACTGAATCACATATACACTGTAGGGATGTGAAAGAACGCACACCTTGTTTGTGATCCGTGGACAGAACTTTAAAGCGTTGGTTGTGTTTAAAAATCGAGAGCAATTTGAATTATTCTTGTACTAAAAGAAAGCTTATGAATTGGGCTTTGATATCCTAGATTTAGAAAGTACTACATGCAGAACTTCATGAAAACAATAGTCCCAACATTTGGGTGTTTACTTTTTTTGACTCACCCTGTATGTACCAAACTTAACCCAATTGAACTGATGGATCTGAAATTGACCACACCTAACTAACTCAATCCAACCAAACAGACCTGATCTGAAACAAACTTAACCAAACCATGCTGTTTCCTCACTTGGTCAGGACAATTTCTCCTGCCAGTACTCTCTTGGCCACATCCGCCCAGCCTGCTCCCTTGGTCTGCTCAATCTCAGCCAGCATGTCCAAGACTGTCTCCGTCCTCAGGATCTTGTGAGAGACGTCCGCCATCAGGAGGACCTCCTGCTCATACTGCAAGATGGAGGTGATGAAACCGGGCAGGAGCTGGATCCTGGAGGGATGAGGGGAGAAATGACGGAGAAAAAACAGTCTTAAAAACTGTGTAAGCATAATTTAATTTGTTTCTGCCATTGTAAACATTTGATCTGCCATATTGTCGCTTTACTCGCAAAGTGACAAAAACCTCGAAAATCGATAACTGTTCGATTTTGAGTTTTACTAGCCTTTTTATTATAGTTGTCTCAAGGAACAATTTGACCAAGTTTCAAAGCGAAAAATTGTTTACTTTCTTACTTATTGTAAACAAAATTTGACAAAAAGCCTGAAATCCGTGTTTTTGTTTTTACGAAGTGTAAAAAGTGTAAAATGTTTTCACGAAGTGACAGAAAGTCACCTCGTGGGCAGGGCCGGAGGAACTACACACGTCAGGATGGGAGCATACACGTGCGCGCGAACGTTCTTTGAAAAAGGACAGACGCGCGTGCGCTCAACTGTCGTATGACGCGTAAAAGTTGCAAGTTTGTTGCATCGACAAAAGTACAAATAAGTAAAGCCTCCGCGATTCATGTTCCCACGAAGTCACAAAAACTGTGTACAAAGTAATGGGGAAAATATGGGACCCAAAGTATTGATGTTTTCACAGGGCGTAAACAAGTTTTATTAATGAATTACTGTTTAATTTAATTATTTATTTTTAACAAACAACTATGAATCAGCAAAGAGCAAATCATAAGCTATGGGACAATGCAAACATTTCCAAATTCTTTTACTGCGAAGTAGTCGAAAATGTCTTTTGAAAAAATAAATAACTTCAAATGCGATTGTTTCTGGATGAACTTTTGTCGATTTTTAAAGTTTTTGTCACTTCGTGAGCAAAGCGACAATATGTGACCTACTGTGGCAAAATGAGGAATGTCCCCCAAAACAATGTAATCAACTCCTGAAATCAATGTTGTTTTTTTCTTATTTTTGAATAGCCAAGGTATCCAATATTCACACTTTGCCTTTTTGTTGAGAAATAAATATCCCCAAAAGTTGGAAACTGAAGAACGTTTTTCACTGCCGTTTGCGGCGCAATGTGCATTTCTTTCTTCAAAGCCGTTTTTCTCGAAATGAGGTTGGTAAAGTTCGGTGGGACACTGATGAAGTTCCTGCGGCATATCTTGGGAGAACATTAAGCTACAGAAACAAATTTGGTATCATTTGAACGCTAATGATTTACACTTGACATGATGTACGTAACTTGAAAAGTCAAAGGGGGGGGGGGTTATTCCTCATTATGATATGGCAGGTGACATATAGCAAGTCTACATAGGCCAACATGTGCAGTGTCAAATTTCCTCACTTTACTACCAAACCTGCAAAAATGAAAGATGTTTTGCAAAATCCACACAAAAGGCTCTCATATTTAATGGCAATCCATATTTCTGCTTCATGGCTCTGTCTATTACTATATACAATCTCCGCTACTTCAAACAATTTTTAAAGAAACTCAAAGCCATGCTGACCTATGGCTACAGATATTTCACATCTACGTTCAACTTAAGACATGAGCTAAATGGTTTCACTTACTTGTGTTGCTGGATTTCCCTTTTGGCGTTGGGGTTGAAATAGTTCCGGCCAATCTGCTCAAAGCCAACCAATCCAAGGATCCTAAACCAATGAATGTAAAAATGTGAAAAAATAATTGCGAGCACATATTATGCTTCATTGAATTTCTTAAAAAAATATACTTCAAAATTGTGTCTTTGTTTTTAAGAGGCCATGAAATGAAATTAAACATTTTGTGCAAATAGCTTAGAAGGCATTGTAAAGGTGCATCTTTGTCACTGTTAACAACTTGTTGACAATTTTGAAAATTTGCATTATGTCCATAAAACTTAAATTAGCCTGACAGCAAACTGATTACATTCCTACTTTTCCACCCAAACTCAACTTTTTTTCAAAGCCCATCAACTTTTTAATTTCTATACAGAGAGGCTTTAAAGATGACCAATTAAAATGTTTTGGAGATTTTTCAATCAAAGATTCGGGAAAAATGACCTGTTCTGTCAAAAGCAGACGCTTCTGGGCAGAGGTTGAAATTGAGATAGGGCCAAAAAATGCTGCGGGGGTAATTTTTATCGATTTTCAAATTTTTGCATATTTGTAATCCTGAACATGTCTAAAATATATTATAAAAGTTTGAAACCCGAATTTGAACTCTACATATACTATTTTTGATGATTTTGATAAGGTATATCAGTTAAAGAAATAACTGTTTTGTGACATTCGTGGCCATTTTCTCCGTTTTCTACTTTTCGACACAATGAACTTCAAAATAGCATAACTCTGCCCAGGAATGACCGGTTTCAAAAATCAAACCACCTATTAAAACGAAAAAGAACATATGTTAACAATATGTAGAAATATCATTTTCGACCTTATGCCCAGAAAAGTCTGATTTTGACAGAACAGGTCACAAATAGTGTGTCACTTATTGACTTGAAACTGAATGACTTGTGATTGATTTGTGTTGTAAAGGGACGACAGTGGTACGTACATTTAATATAAATCCTTACTAAATAACTCCATGTTGAAATCTCATCATGCTCATGTTTGAAAGGATTGATTCTACAAAAAAAAAAATTCAAAAATTTAAGCACCGCGTCATACCTTAAATAATAACATATATTTTTCATGCCGACTTCCTATTTATCTGTGTCGAGTTTGAAAGCATTTGAACTTATAACATAGAATTTATGGCAAAAATACTATTTTTGACCAAAAATGGGCAAAATAATGAGCAAAAATGTCGTCATAACATTAATGTGCAATTTGGACCAATGTGAACAACCAGATTCAGATTCAGCACTATCAAATTAGTAAAAGTGACTTTATTGCAAGTTGACACCAGAAAGTTAAGACGAACCTCAACTTCTAGACCTGATACAGATTTTGGCCCATGGCCTAATAGGGGGTAAGGGTTAATTTTAGCAATGATGAAAAAAAAAAAAACATACTTGCGGAAGATGATGTTGTAAACCTGCATGCAGGTTGGTGAGGTAGGAGGCAGCGCATTCTTGAGAGCCACAGTAATGGTGATGATGTCATCAGAGTCACGGCGTTTGGTTTGAAACCTGGTCACCTAGAGTTTGCAAAACAAGGCAAAAATATGTATAGAAAATATATGTACATCTCATCTCACAACTTTGCATCTTGTGTTGAGATTGATTGTTTCTAAAAAATATGTGAAATGTATGTATGTAACTCGACAGTGTCAGTACAAAAAAATGAAACCCAAATGTCGGGACTATTGTTTCAGTGAAGTTCTGCTTGTTTCACTTTCAAAATCTAGGGTATGAAAGGCAAATTAAGAAGCTTTCTTTTAGAACAAAGATCATTCAAATCACTCATGTACTAGTGAGCTAGGTTACAAAATCTTAAACCCATACACCGTTTTAAAGTTCTGTCCATGGATCACAAAAAAGTGTGCGTTCTTTCAGTAAGAACGATTCACACATATCCCTATCTGATTTGTTTTCGTTTTACTAAAAAAACACTTACCTTTTTGTGATCCGTGGACAGAATGATTAACGATGGTTGTGTTAAAAATTCTGTAACTTGAAAAGTACATGAGTGATTTGAATGATTCTTGTACTAAAAGAAAGCTTATGAATTGGGCTTTAATATGCTAGATTTTAAAGTGCTACATGCAGAACTTCACTGAAACAATAGTCCCGACATTTTGGTTTCGTTTTTTTTTTTACTACCCTGTAGTGAAAGCCCTGTAACTCTCAGATCCTTAGTTTTGAGGAAGGTATAGAGCCCAGCTAAAATCACATAACATGGGGCAGGAACAAAGAATGCAACTTTGATTTCCTATACAGCTGAGGATTTTAGAAGATTGAGGGAGGTTCCTAGAAATATGGCATTTATCTCATGTTAAGAATATTTCTTTTCAAAATCAGTGACATACTTTTGCCGTATAGCCTTGCAAAATCCTCCATTTTTGCAGAGAGGATTATGAAAGATTTGGGAAGGTTGGGGTTAAAAACACATTTTACATCTACTCACCGGCTCATCAAGCCTTCGGAGCAGGAACAACATCATCCCATCAAAGGCCATGGGGGTGCCTAGGATCTCAGAGTGAGCCCGTAGCAGGGCATGACGTGCCCTAGGGTTGTCCACAACGGGGCTGAAGTCCACGCTGTACTGGTGCAGAAGCCACTGATCAGCAGCCTTCATGCGGAAACAGTTGGTCAAGACCTCCACCGGCTTTCCTTTCTTGCCTGGAGGATTATGAGAAAAATGTGTGGTTTTTTTAATGTACAATGGAGTTTGTGCACGTGTTCTCACTCAATTGTGACAGAGAGATATGACTTCAAACTTAAATGCTGTTGTTGCTGTGAGGTAGGTGCCTGTGCAAAGGCAATGCTGGATACTGAATCATTCTGTTGTCCCAGATGCAGATTTAGGGCGCAATTTAAAACATGACTAGGTTATTGTCCCTTATTGAATGCAGAAACAAACTTACCTACCAACCAACACAGTGAGCTAAGGCCAAAGGCGTATTTTCATGGCGCTGTGGGAAAAACTGCACTAATGACAAATGATCTACCCCTACCTTTAAAGACAGCTTTTAGATGAGAAAATGGAATATTTATTGCAGGGGTGTGAGTGACCATTGATAAAAATAGCTGAAAACATCTGAAAAAGGTGTAAAAAAGCTGACCTTTGGAAATTTCCTATACTTTTTTACACAACAAGTGAGGGAAAAAGTTGAAAAAGGCTGAATCCAAAACTAATAAAAATAGCTGAAATCAGCTTTAAAGCTGAGATTTCACACCCTTGTTATTGGCACATCAATAAGGGATTACAGGGCACCAGACCTACCTCTCTTATCAATGGGTCTGGGTGCTTTTTGTTCTCCGTAGCGGAGCTCTGTCTGTCTGCCGCGGCCACTGACTCCCCCTCCCTCAGCACCCTGGGCCCCGCCCACGCTCAACGCTGCCATCTGAGCTGTAGGGGGCGCTTCAGCTGGCATTGGTCTCGGGGCATGACGATGGTAACTCTCGGCCATGGCCGCTCTTTGCTCCATGCTTATAGCAGCTGTGTAACAAAGAAAGTAGTTTAAACAGAGTGAGTATAAACCAACTGGCGCAAGTCAGATTTCACCCAACCCCTTTAATTGTCTCCTGTGCAGTCATGCATGAAAACTAATCCAGTGAAAATGTCACCAGAAGAGGCAGGAAGAGTTACTCTCAAAACTGCACTATGAAAATATCTTATCTATGTTGCTACAGAATGAAACTATGGCCAATTTTAAAAGTGTATAGGTTTTTTACTCACACTGTATCTATAGGATCATTTTACAAATTTGGGGTCCACTTTTTCCCTGTCCCTGTTACATCCGACATCTTGATTTTATAGCAAACCACTTACCCAACAAATACAAATTTATGGAAAATAAAGCACCAAGGGTAGGACAAAAGTGTCATACTCTGAACCCTAAACTTATAGAGTGATCAAAGAATTCATGTCTTGTAACATCATATTAGAGCATGTACGTGTATATGTAAATTTGCTTGAGTTTTTTGTGTTAAGTTTCAACCTCCAAAAAAAAAAAATTTGGTTTTTAAAATGGAGCAACCTTACATGTAACTCTCAGCCTGAAAAATTTCTGTCAATAGACACCCACCTCCTGATCCAGGGACCTGGGAAGCCCCGCCCCTGGTTCTGCCCCTCCCTGGGGCAGGCATGGCTTCAGCATCACCACTAGGCATGGGCGTGGCAGGCGCTGCCTCCCCTGGCCGCCGGGGCAGGCCCTGCTGCTGCCCTGCAGAGGCCTGCCCACGGCCCCGGCCTCGCCCCCGACCACGGGCACGCCCGCTGCCAACGCCTTGCTGACTGTCCGCCATGATGGGTGTTTCCAAACTTCTTTGCTCTGGGGAGGAACAACAGCTTGTGGTGATGAACAGAGTTTACAGCAATTATGAATGGTAAAGCGGTGAAATGGCAACACCAATGAACATTTCATACTCATTTTTCATTTAAAGTTCATACTTAAGATTGCTTACTTATCCGATTAGTTGAAGGAAACTAACCCAATGTCTTACTAAGAAAAGGTACCCTCAATAAGAGTTTTTTGCGTATTAAGAAAGAGAATAAAATGCTCCTTACCACCAATCAGATATTGTGTTGACAAGTTATGGCTATTTAAAGTACACTCTTATAAAAGTAAAGTACTGAGAAAAAGGCAATTAAAGTTTCAGGTTTGTATTTGTGAAAATGAAAGATGCCAATTATTTTTTTCCGTGAAAACACTTGCACTCCACAACTTGTAAGGTATTTCTATAAAATATATGTAGTAGACATATCAAAGATTACAAATATCAATAAATCTGAAAATCCCCCCCCCAAAAAAATCCACTCCCATTCAGTTTTTTTTTGGGCATTTTTTCCCCACCAAGGTCTGTGTCCAGTTCCGTTGCATTTTGCCAGAATGCACATTCTCTCAATACTCAATGAGCATGTTCTTTACAATTCTCAAGTCAACTTACTTTTTTACATATGATTTTCTTTGTTGCTTGGATCACAAAGAAGCTGGATGTTGTCCACCATTTCTATCTGCAAGAACTTTTTCCAGGATACAGTAGGCCCCTCAGCTGGATACATCCAGACAATTAACTGTGGGAAAGATGAGAAAAATGAACTGTCAGGAAATTGACAACTAACAAGTACAAAGAAACACCAATTTTTCACTTAAGTAGTAATTTTAAATTAAAATTACTACATGTAAATTTACATGTAGGTGGAAACTTGGTGTTCTTTGTACATATTAGTTGTCGATTTCCTGACAGGAGAGTTACCACTGAGTTTACTGGTCACAAGTAAACTCAATGGTAACTCACCGCACATAGATTTAAAAAATAAAATTGAACATTCTCCAAAAAGGCACACAAGGGACTGTTGGACTCTGATTATTGGTGGTATGCCTCAGTTTACTAGTGCAGTACTCGTCCTAACACTAACAGATTCCAACAAACCCTGGTGTTGGAGTTTGGCTGGATGGGTATTGTTAGGGTTAAAGTAATCTTACTGTACCGATGTAAACTACCAACAATTAGGTTCTGTATTAAAAAGGCCTAATCGTCTCTGGCAGGTAGTGTGGAATCCGGTGACCAGATAGTTTTCACAAGCCTGACTTGCCCAAGCCTTGCACCACTGCAGAAAATGGCTGCCGCCAGATTTGTCTATAGCGCTGGCCCTTGCCCAGTATTATGTGGGTACTTCCAAGTCACTGAAGTGAATCGCTTTATGCCCTATACAGCCAGCTAATATCCAGAATCAGACAATAGAGAAAAAAAAAATGGGCATCAAAAAGCCACATCTGGTCACATAGAAAACCTCTCACTCATAACAATGGAACAGGATGGGTCCATTCAAACTGTTTCTTAAAGTGGTCGTTCGTGATAGTGATTGTGCATTATTATAGAATTTACTATTTCGGGAGCCAAAGAGGATGCGTGTTATAGCCAACTGTTTGTTATAGCAGCGTTCATTATAGTGGTGGTTCACTGTATGGGGATGCCTTCCCTCCAACAGTTGAAGTTAAAGACCCCCCCCCCACATTATACCCGACTTACAATGTAATAGGATCCCAAATCTTATGACAAACTGCTAATGCAGAACCAGGATCTCATCTCTGAGGCTTTCGTACTTCTATACTGTGAGATGACCCAAGGTTTTAGGCAGAACAAGACCCTGACTGGTAACATTCTCGTCAGTTTAAGCGCAAATACAGTAATAAATTAAGGCCTTGTAAACATTACATCCTACATTTGGATAACAAATAAGGGTAATGAGCTGGTAAAATATATATTTTCAGCTCCAAGTTTCATAAGCCAGAAAAAAAATAGGTGGGATGATAGCCATGCAACTCATTAATTTTTTTTTTTCTTTCTCTCAAAATTAAGAATTGTCTTTCTTTATTGTTTTAAAATCAAATCCTACAATACATTTAATTGCAGAATATTTCATCTTTGCTATCTGATTCGTGGCTCTGACGGATTTTTTAATGGAAATAAAGTCCAAAATTGCAATAGGTCTGATTCCCGTCTCCTGAATACAAAGTCACAATGACAATGTAAGCATTTCTACACGTTGGAACCAGACAAAGATTCGTCATGGTAACAATTTGAAAGTCCCAAACAACACTCACTGTGCATATTCAGCGTAATGCTGGTACAACATGCGCATGTAATGTGAAGTGGGCTGAAGATGGCGATGGGGCATAGTGGAAATGGGCAAAAGGCGAAGGGACAGGGGCGAAGTGGAAATGGTAGGGAGGCCAGCGAAACGACCCTTCAGAAATTTATATCTAGAACTGAGTAAAAAATACCTATTTTCAATCAACCTTTTTTCCCACTTTTGTGCATCAAATTAAACATTTTAATGAACAATTGTGTGGTTAAGTCTTGCTTGCTTGGAGTTAAGGGTCGACTTGAAGCCTTGTACAAGAAAAAAAAAACACTGGTCATTCTGATGTGCGGTTCGGTGAATTTGGCCAAGGATAGAGGGGTGCAATTGTTTCGTTATCCGAAGTCAACAAAAAATAACATTTTTTGTAACAATTATTTAATTACAAAATGCATGCGTAAGGAGTCGATGAAACGTATATGAAACAGTGTTTTCTCAAACACTTAGACTTTCAGGAGGACATAATTTTTTGTTAACAAATGATGGCGCATTGGTGCGGCACAGCCGATTTATATGCCTACATGTATTTAGTCTGGCACGCGGAAACTACGATTATGTGTACGCACATATGTTCTGCGTGGCCGTGTAGTCCGAAGCGTGATTTGAACTTAATTTGGGGTGATCGTATAGTTACTGGCCCAGTTCCCTATAACAGAACAAAATCCACTTTTAACTTATTTGACTTACCAAACTAGTTGGCAACATTATGAACTTGCAGACATATGACACAGATAGAAAGGGTTTTGAATTTTTGAGGAAATTTGTGGATAAAATGACGAAAAATTAAATGTTCACGAAAATATAGATGGCGATCACCGCAATGCACTGTGAAAGCGCAAGGCGTGCTGACTTGCACAGTACCAACTGTAAACATGGTAAATTCCGTACGAAAATTGTAACTTCTACCCCAGGAAACTGTTGAAAATTACAAAAAAAGGTGTCACTAGAATTGGGAAAAGTCTTCTTCAGGTTGAAAAGGTCATTTTTGAATAATAAAAAACACCCTTGACTCTAATTTGATCGAAACTAAAGAGGGACCCGTAATGACAGGATATCGCGGTAGTTTTCCAGAAGAAAATCATAACTTTTTTAATAATGAGATATAAAAAAACTGATTTAAAAATCAACTTATTATAATAAGGATTCTAATAATGTTAAAAATTTTGAAGTTTGGAATTTCTTCTTAGAGTTAAAAATATTTGTATTGTCTATCGTTACGACAGCTGTAATGCAATTTTCAAATACTATCGTTACGGCATGTTAACAGAACGCTTCGGTAGCACAATACATTGTAGATACAGACGCTAGATCAATGAGCTGGGGACCCTGGTTCAAACCCCGCGCAGCAGTGCACTAGGCCCCTATTCGTTTTTTTTTTATATATATATTTTTGAACAGATTTCTTAAATGTGACTGAAAATACTGGACTACCTCCGTATATCAGTCACACAGCCACGTACAGCCTGTGAGCAGAGCGTCCCATTGCTAGGGGAGCCGAAAATTAATTAAAGATCAAAATTATTTTGTCGACAGAAAATTAACCCAGCTATAGAATGACTGCTAAATAGCACAAAATCGTTAAATTCGGTAAGTTCAGAGGTCTAGTTATCCATCATGGAAATTCGTCACGGTTTTGAAGGAAAGATTTCCATATACGAAGTTCACTCAACGCTCGCTCTGAAAAATTCTAAGTGTTTTCTAAGAAAATGCTTGTATTTTCTCACTGCTCAAATTGACTTTGATGACATGAAATTGCTATCTGGGGGCTTGTTAGTCAATACAGAGGAAAATTAGTGAACTTCACATATGGTAATCTTGCCGTTTTGAAAAAGCATGGCGTCTCTGATATTTACCAGACTGTTTCCCGGCCACCCCAATAATAGTCAAGAGGCCAAAAGGGTCAGGGAACCAAACAAGAGCTTTAATCATCTACAGAGCATGCGTCAACTTTGGCAAAGTGACCGCGGCTGTTGCCTGTCATTCCAAAATCTTTGGCGCTCTGTGAAGTGCCCGGATGCAATACGCGACCGCGAATAGAGCGCACATAAGAGGGCGCGCTTCACTGCAGAGGGCTTCAATCGGGGTAGCATAAAAAGGTTCGAGAGTGGAGCGAGTAATGAATATGCATGAATATGACGTCACTAGAAGCTCATGAGTAATATATCACGGTACGTATTCGCGTTGAGTGGAGTACTCCTCTTTCTACTGTCGCGCCACCACCCTCTAGTGTCGTCCCACTTACCGATGATCATCACATTTAACAAGTCCTCTTTCTACTGTCGCGCCACCACCCTTTAGTCTCGCCCCACTTACCGATGATCATCACATTTAACAAGTCCTCTTTCTACTGTCGCGCCATCACCCTCTAGTGTCGTCCCACTTACCGATGATATCACATTTAACAAGTCCTCTTTCTACTGTCGCACCACCACCCTCTCGTGTCGCCCCACTTACCAATGATCATCACATTTAACAAGTCCTCTTTCTACTGTCGCGCCACCACCCTTTAGTGTCGCCCCACTTACCGATGATCATCACATTTAACAAGTCCTCTTTCTACTGTCCCGCCACCACCCTCTCGTGTCGCCCCACTTACCAATGATCATCACATTTAACAAGTCCTCTTTCTACTGTCGCGCCACCACCCTTTAGTGTCGCCCCACTTACCGATGATCATCACATTTAACAAGTCCTCTTTCTACTGTCGCGCCACCACCCTCTTGTGTCGCCCCACTTACCAATGATCATCACATTTAACAAGTCCTCTTTCTACTGTCGTGCCGCCACCCTCTAGTGTCGTCCCACTTACCAATGATCATCACATTTAACAAGTCCTCTTTCTACTGTCGCGCCGCCACCCTCTACTGTTGCCCCACTTACCGATGATCATCACATGATCATCGGTAAGTGGGGCAACAGTAGAGGGTGGTGGCGCGACAGTAGAAAGAGGAGTACTCCACTCAACGCGAATACGTTCTGTCGCGCCATCACCCTCTAGTGTCGCCCCACTTACCGATGATCATCACATTTAACAAGTCCTCTTTCTACTGTCACGCCACCACCCTTTAGTCTCGCCCCACTTAAAGATGATCATCACATTTAACAAGTCCTCTTTCTACTGTCGCGCCACTACCCTCTAGTGTCGCCCCACTTACCAATGATCATCGGTAAGTGGGGCAACAGTAGAGGGTGGCGGCGCGACAGTAGAAAGAGGACTTGTTAAATGTGATGATCATCGGTAATTAAGTGGGGCGACAATAAAGGGTGGTGGTGCGACAGTAGAAAGAAGACTTGTTAAATGTGATGATCATCGGTAAGTGGGGCGAGACTAAAGGGTGGCGGCGCGACAGTAGAAAGAGGACTTGTTAAATGTGATGATCATTGGTAAGTGGGGTGACACGAGAGGGTGGTGGCGTGACAGTGGAAAGAGGACTTGTTAAATGTGATGATCATCGGTAAGTGGGACGACACTAGAGGGTGGTGGCGCGACAGTAGAAAGAGGAGTACTCCACTCAACGCGAATACGTACCGTGATATATTACTCATGAGCTTCTAGTGACGTCATATTCATGCATATTCATTACTCGCTCTGCTCTCGAACCTTTTTATGCTACCTTCAATCAGCCGCGGTGCACTTTGCCAAAGTTGACGCACGCTCAGTAGATGATTAAAGCTCTTGTTTGGTTCCCTGACCCTTTTGGCCTCTTGACTATTATTAGGGTGGCCGGGAAACAGTCTGGTAAATATCAGAGACGCCATGCTTTTTCAAAACCGTGACGAATTTCCATGATTTTTGGATAACTAGACCTCTGAACGTACCGAATTTAACGATTTTCTGATTTTGTGCTATTTAGCAGTCATACTATAGCTAGCTGGGTTGAGTTTCTGCTGACAAAATAATTTCGATCTTTAATTAATTTTCGGCTCCCCCTAGCAACGGGACACTCCGCTCACAGGCCGTACGTGGCTGAGTGGCTGATATACGGAGGTATTTCAGTATTTCAGTCACATTTATCATCTTTATGGGACTAGTTTTTAATCAAAGTGTTCTTTTTTATTTAAGTAGATGAAAAGAATGTATAACCAGACATCACTTCAGCGGTTGTGTACAAAGTCTATGGAGAGTGAAGAACATTTTCTATTCATTTCCTAACAAATTGGAAGTGTTTCTTAATGGCAGTGTATATTTCGCCGGAGACGGCAAACCTTTAGTAAACGTTAGTTTGCTGGATATGCACTGAACATGCGCAGTTACCGTTTTTTTGTACTTAAAACATTTTCCGGTGACAAGTTTTAGTCTGGCTCCATGCCAAAATTATCGTAATTACCTCGTATTCACAAGATGGGATTCAGACCATT